GAATTGTCGGTCAGTCGCCATTTCTTAGAAAGAACCTCTAATGCAATGTCAAGGCCTTGGATTCTGGACTGCTGAGCCTTAGCTAATGCTGTCGATTGTTTTCAGCTGGCTGATAGAACGTTGGGAAATAATAATAACACGGCATGAACTTCGTCTTCATTGCTGCGAGTGACTTTAATATTAACGTTATCTGCGTGAGGATGGATATACTTATGTGACATGTCATTGTCATACTGGCTTAGTTCCCGTTTGCATCAACTCGTGGCTCAACGGTTAGGGCTTTCGCCGCTGACCGGAGAGATCCGAGTTCAAAACTCGAGTGTGGGAGCAATTTCAGCGGCTACACCGGAGTTGGGTATCACTAGCCGATGACGGCAAATGAGCCAGAAAATGCCATCCTAGTGTCCCATCTCTTTGCTGGTAATGTCCTTCTGCAAACGAGACGTTGGGATGGGAAGAAATGTCTTCGCTTATGGCACGACTAATTGTGCGTGCTAAATCTTTGATCATGTCTTTTACAACCGGGCACAACAATGTATCAAGCTAAGGTTTACTACCTTCAACCACCAGTGGCAGCTGAATTAAACGGCTTGGGCAGCCTGTGTTTTTGGCAATGAAAGCTCGATCCTTACGCGAGCAGACAGATGCAATCGAATGCTCAAAGAGCAAAAATACTTTGTTTTGAGTGTATATACTCTCTCGGGAAAATAAAACAAATAGTTTCCACTGCAACATGCTCCTCAATACGTCTACAGCACTGTTAGAACTATTGATTCTCACTACAAGGATTGCACCTCCGTCTAACTGACCGGACTCGCTGATGACAAATACCTGGCAAATGCCTGCTTTTTTATCATATATATTAGACAACCGTAATTTACTTGTTTCAAAATGCTCTGAAACGAATGAAGCAAATACTTATGTGTTGGTCCATTCTTACGGTTGACTACGGTTGACTACATTTACCTTCATACTAGGACTTTTACTTTGCCTGCAAAATGACCCACCGGAACACTCAAACGTTTGAAGATAAGCCGGCGCTTATGGAATGCCTTCCGCAATTAAACAACCTTCGTTTGGCCGGCAAACTAATGGATTTGACTATTGAGGCAAGTGTATTACATGGATCCCTAACTTGTTTCTCATTTAAAGCTACAAAACAACGTCCAGGTGCATGCACATAGAGTTGTTTTTGCATCCCGGGTGCCTTCACTGTGTGGTTCCCTGTGTGAGACCCCTATGAATGGCCAGATTGTGGTGCTAAGGTGGCCGAAAGTTTCTTTAGAGTACTAGCTCATCTTATATTGTAACTGCATTCTAGAGTCGCTACACCATTCATAGACTATGTATACACCGGCCAGCTAGTAGTTCAGGAAGCCACTGCGACTGGTTTGATTGTACTGTCGCAACAACTCGCGATGCCGCAAGTAAAAAACTGGACGGTCAGTTTTATGGCCACCAGGTAAGCGTTTTTGCGTTATTATTGGACCGCAGGCTGGATGCCGAAAACATTTCTAATTACTGGGAGATTGCTAATTTGCTGCAAAGTAACATGTTAAGGTACGCCTGCCTGCAACACATGAAGGCTACCTTTGAGGCCACAATTGCCAGTGATTTTTTCATTCAGCTGCCAACTGACGCTGTCCTGTCCCTACTGGAGTCAGAGGACCTTCAAGTGGACAGCGAAGAGACCGTCCTCAAGGCGATTGGACGATGGGTCAGTCCACTCGGCGAAGTGGATGAAACACGAATTGTGCACGCGGAAGCGATGATGAAGGAAGTGCGGTGGGATAAATTTGATACCGAATTCCGGTACAGCCTACAGGATGACGACAAAGGCTTTTGGAATAAAAACTTGGGATGTTCGTAAGTTTTTGGAGCAGATTTTAACTTGTTGAACGATTGAAGAAGACTTCTAGGGCGTATAATAAGTTGGATCGAATGTCCATCCCGGCGGGTATATGTTGAATGTCCGTTCAATGACATAAGCCGAAATCCACTGGGGAAAATCTGTCTGCTCGGTAGATCAGAGACCAGAGGGCAATGTTTGCTGACCCGGTTCGATGCTGACACGTACACGTCGCAGGAGCTAACGGATGTGACGGCAGGATTGGATGCGGCCTTTGTGGTCATAAATGGTAAGTTTTAGTTGCTTGAAATGTTGGCATACTTATCAATGCTTTCATTTATTTTAAATGATTGCGGCACGCAACATACGATGATCAGGACATGGTCGAATTTACTAAGTATTTTTCTAAGAGGATACAGCAGAAAAACGTGAAATTTAGTTGTTCTCTGGTCGAGTTCGCGTTGGCCAAAGGCTCTTCTTTCACATATTTAACTTGGCATTGTGCTGACTTCCGACTAAGTTTAGGGGACCCCAAATTGGTACGAAATACTCTTAAAATGTTACTCTTTTGTCAAAGCCCTTCAATATCAGTAGTATGCTAAGTATAGGGCCTGCCGTCGCGTATAAACATACTTATGTCATTTGATCATCGCCTTTCATTTCTGTATTTAATCCTCTATCCACCTCGTTTCTTACTCCATTTCTCATTATCCGAAAACAGATTGCATCTTTGTAATTGGAAGATATGAGCGGGACGACAACTATACACGCGTTGAGAAATTTGATACGAGGGAACACCGATGGTTTGAATTTGTTAGCTTACCGGGCGGTATGAGAAACATACGGCAGTCGCTGTCCCAGTTGGTGAGGAGACCGTGATATGCGTGTGTGGAGGCAACATGCACTGGTGCGACTTGTTTGGCGCATCTGTGCTCTATACTCCACAAGAAGACAAGTAAGTATGTGAGGCGTCATTACTGATTGATAGCGCCACGGCAATTTTGAATGCTAAATTCTCTCATGTTTCCATCACAAAGCCAGGGCCTCATACTTGACATCTGGTCAGTAAGCCCTTATTTTAATGTCGAGTTCTAATCAGCTCTTCCTACATTGTATAGGTTTGTGGTTTTTAGTCGAGGTCCGCGCAAATTCAGCTGATTATTCCACTTGACATTTTAACAGGCTGAAGAAATGTGTTCAGTGGCTATTGCAGACAATTTGGTAGTTGATACGGAATCCAGGACGCTCGTCATGCTAGGCATCCATCAGCATGGCTTTTCGGCAGGAGTTCTTCTTCCAGGTGGTTGTAAAGAGGGTTTAAGTGGGCACGAGAGTAGATTTTTCCGGCGATCATTGTAACAAAGTTTGGGGTTCCTTATCCATCGGCATGTGAGAGACTGCAGAGGGTGGGCTCGAGGACGCAGCCCTGCTTCACTCGAAAACGTGCCCGTTGTCCGCGACGCGCCCTGTCATCCAATCCGCGAAGGTAGTGTACAGATTGGTGCGCATCTCCTGGAACTTCTCCCATAGCTGTCGTGCGGTGAATTTTTATGTCGGTGCTGTCGCGCTGGCTTTCCGTCAGGAGTCCTTGTTCCAGGTGGTTTTTGAGACGGTTTGGGAGAATAGGAGCGAACATTTTGCCGGTGATTTTGGGCAGCGAAACTCCGCCATGATTGTCACAAAGTTAGCGCTTCACATTTCGCTTAAAGACGAGGACGATTGTGGCGTTCTTGAAGCCCGGGGGGACTTGTCCTTGGCGCCACATCTCTGGGAAGCACGTAGTAAGTTGGGTCATAAGTTGATAAGTTTGTAAATCTTAGGAATGATCGCGTCTGATCCGGTTGCTTTTCGCTGGAGAGTTGCTGTATGGCACTGATGGTTTTCTGAGGACTGAGTGGAAAGTTGAGGTCAGTGTGATTTCCACCTGAGACAGGCGGTCAATAGCGACAAGGAGGGACGGTTGAGTACCTGAGTAAATGCTCGACGCAATGGATCAGCATCTGCGCCTTCTGAGTGAGTACGATAGTTCCGTCAGTGCTGAGAAGAGGAGCTGTTCCTTTCGGCTAGGTCCGAAGACAACCTTGATCGCCGCAAAGATGTTCTTCAATTCATTGTCGTCCGCATAACCTTGGATATCCTAGCTCTTGCCAGCCATCCAGGCATCATACATTTCCCACAACCGCTGTTGTAAAAGATTACAGCGAAGGTAGACGGCTGCTTTTGTGGCGTCAGGAGGGCTGTCAACATAAGGTTTGTACTAGAGGGGGGGAGAGACTTGCTCTGCTATTAGGCTACTTTCCATGTGACGACATTCAATGTGAATGGATGACCATAAATGTATCTCATTTTATGTACCTTAGCGTTGCCGTCTCTTTCACTAGCCTTTTTTCTACTGTAGATGGTACCAACTGCCAAATTCGAAACGAAAAAGGGAATGCGCTGCCATGGTTGCACTGCCAGACGGACGCGTGTTTGTGATTGGCGGAGTAGTTAATTGTTTGACATACAGCAAATCAGTGGAGACATGCCATCTCCGGGAGCCAGCGGACTGGCAAGGAGAACTTAAAGCATCGAACGTCTTTTGGAAAGATGTTGCTGACATGCTAGAGCTACGTCGAGACCACGCGGCAGTTGCATTCAGAGACAGTATTTTCATTGCTGGGGGCAGCAATGTCGAGGGGTATTTGAACACAGTCGATGTCTTCACCCCGCCCGACAACCAGAGACCGTTGGGACAGTGGACGCGTCTCGGTGGCTGGGACACGGGAAGGCCAACTGCTGCTCTCGTTGTTTTTGAGGACAGA